CCCAGGTTTGATTCCTAGCACCCCTGTGGCAGCTCATGCTGTTTAAACCCCTGTTCCAGGGTAGTGGACTCCCTTACATACATGTAGGCAAATGTACATAAAATAAAAAAAATAATGAAAACAAAACAAAAACTTTAAGGGCCTTCAAGATGACTCAGTGGATAAAAACATTTGCCAGTAGTCTGATGACCTGGGTTAAATCCCCAAACACACATGGTGGAAGAAAAGAACCAACTCTTATATTTTGTCCTCTAACCTCCCATAGTATGTACACTACACATACACATAGATTAATTAATACATAAATAGAAAAAAACAAAACAACAAAAAACAAAAGTCCAAACCCCTTAAAAGTAATAAACACACACACAAAATAAAACAGAAGACTGCTGGTGGTGGTGCACAAGTTTGATCCTCAGCACCTGTAAGGCAGAGTCAGGTGGATCTCTGAGTTCAAGGCCAACCTGATCTACAGAGCAAGTTTCAGGACAGCCAGGAATACACAAAGAAACCCTTTCTCAACGCCCCTTCACCCCATAAATGTAAAGTAGAAATTATGGAGCTTTTTTTATGAAAGGATTGTACTTGTTACTAAGACCAAAAAGACTGACATGAACTGTAGATATATGAAAAGTTGCCCTGGGATCTAACCATTCTTCCTTCTGACATGTTTATAATTTCCTTACCAATTAGGATGTTTGTTTTTCGAAACTATGACAATCCTGGCTTTCCTGGAACTGGCTTTGTAAACCAGGCTGGCTGCAAACTCAGAGATCTGCCTGCCTTTGCCTCCCCAGGGCCACTACTGCCCTGTTCTACCTTTTTTTTTTTTCTTTCTTTTTTTTTTTTTTCTCGAGACAGGGTTTCTCTGTGGCTTTGGAGCCTGTCCTGGAACTAGCTCTGTAGACCAGGCTGGCCTGAACTCCCAGAGATCCACCTACCTCTGCCTCCTGAGTGCTAGGATTAAAGGCGTGCACCACCACCACCTGGCTGTTCTACCTTTTTTAAAGCAACAACAAAAATAGGTGTGATGCCTACAGTGCCAGTACTGGGCCTGTCTAGCCTGCATAGTAAAACTGTCTCAGAAAGCCCTAGTACAAAGGAAACCATAAATATAAAGTGATTTAAGTCTGTTACAGTGTAGTAGGCAGATTCCTGCTCCACAGTTTACAGTATGTTGTGATGATGCTTTTATGTCTTTACTTACAAAGGTACAGATTACATAACGACACCATTTTATAACACTCCCCCCCCCATTTTCCTACCCTTAAATTCATGTGGATTAAATTATATAAAGAGGTATAATGAACTTGGTTACAATGAAACTTCTCAGTAATAAAACTGAGAATTCCTATGTAGAATAGTTCCTAACTTGCTATTGTAATTGTGACCATGAACCTTTTCCAGAGTAGATTAGTAAAAAAACTATGAGATTGGGAATACACTGGGAATTTTATCAGACTCAACTAAAGACAGCCACAAGCCTGACTGTGTAACTAGTGTTCATTGAACATTTACTTGAAGTTGATGCCAAGCTCTTCATAAGAAAATGAAGCCAGAACTCAGAAATTAAGTGACTTGTACAAGGTCACTCAGCTTGATTGAAAATCTGTTTCAACTTCATTCTATAGATCTTTGTCAGCCAGTGGTGGCATATTCCCTTAATGCCGGCCTACCACCCAGAGTCTGAGGCCAGCCTGGTCGACATAGTGAGTTCCGGGACAGCCAGGACTACACAGAGAAACTCTTATCTCAAAAAAACAAAACCAAAAAACAAAGGGAGAAAGAAGTATTAATTAATTAATCAATTCACATTCATTAAATGAATACTCTAATTACTAAAGAATATCAAGTATGTTTGTAATCTGTCCTGTTTGTTTTGCGACAGGATTTCACTCTGTTAACCAGGCTGGCCTGGACCTCCTGGCAATCTCCTGACTCAGCCTCCAGCATGTTGGGATTATAGGCGTGAGCCATGGTGCCTGACTATAGTCCACTCTCAAACCTGTGTTCCTAGAAAATCAGATCCCGTAGATAGATCACAACCCAGTCCTGCATGAAATTTCATGTAAAAGAGCATGTATTGAATTTTAAAAAGCAATGGTTTTTATTGTGTTTTAGTGATACAATGTTTAGTCATTTGAGCAAAATTTTACTAGTTCCCCCCTCCAAATAAACTGAATATGAAACAGGCATTCTTTTTCATAATTCAGATCTTATTTTGATAAATACCTTATCAATTAAAAGTAGGATAAAATGGTGTGTGTGTGGGGGGGACTGGAGAAATAGCTCAGTGGTTAAGAGCACTGACTGATCTTCCAGAGGACCTGGATTCAATTCAAAGCACCTACATGGCAGCTCATAACTGTCTATAATTCCACTTACTAGGCGACCCAATTCCATGGCAAAATGCCAGTGCACAGAAAATAAATATATTTTAAAAAGTAAGTAAAATAATTTTGTGAAGATGTAAACTAAATTGAGTTCTAAACTATCTTATAGGTTTAGACTTTAAATTTGTCATCATAAGCAAAATTAACAAATAGCTTATATTTTATGATTCCTCAAGCTTTAGGGCTGAGCCAGAATGCTATGTGGAAATTTAATCAGCAATACTTTCATGGTAAAGACTATATGGCGTGAATGACACTTAAATTTCTGTAGCAGCGATAATCCTTGAAGGATCATTCTTAAAAATAGCCATGATTTGTAATAACATTTAGATCTTGATCCCCCAAAATAATACTGTGGCTACATATTGAAAACTCCCTAAGCAGGCTTGCACTCTCTCTCTCTCTCTCTGTGTCTGTCTATCTGTCTGTCTGTCTGTTTGTCTGTGTCTCTCTCTCTTGCTCTTTCATTTCCTAGCAAAATCCAAGGTGGTCTTGAAATAATTTTTTAAAGACATTTGTCATTTTATGAACCAAGAAAAATCACAACTGGAAAGAGAAAAGATGACTGATGTGAATATTAATTAAAGTGTTGAACTATGTAACAGAAAGTTCCACCATGAGATTAATGCAACAAGTAAATTTGAATTTTCTAGTGAAAGTTAAAATAAAAACAGAAGATTTTAGTAAAGAAAGTGGAGGTTTTTAAAAAAGAACCAAATGGAAATTATAGAACTTAAAACTGAACTGATTTTTGTTTTTGTTGTTGATGTTGCTAGTTATGTTTCATTGAAACTAGGGGAAATTATCTCTTCCACTTCTAGTGAAGTCAAACAAAAAATCAGTAATAAAGTGAGATAGGAGGATCTCTGTGAGGTTGAGGTCAGTCTGGTCTACATAGTAAATTCCAGAACCACATAGGCCCTCTCCCCAAAAGTAAATAAACAAAAATGAAAGAAAGTAATCAGTAATAAAAAGAATAGGAAAGTCTTCACATTTTCCTATTTCTGATTGCGGATGTGGCTAAGTTGGTAAAGTGCTTGCCTGATGGACGGATGAGGCCCTGGGTTGGCTTTCCACACTGCGTAAACCAGGTGTTGGTGGTATCCACCTGCAGTCCCAGTGCTTGGAAAGCGAAGGCAGTGGTATTTGTTCAGGTCTTGGGCTTTGAGTTTAAAGCTTGGGAAACGTGAGAGTGTCTCAAACAGTGCAGGGGCTAGAGAGATGACTCAGTGGTTAAGAGCATTTGTTCTTGCAAAGGACCCTGGTTTCATTCCCAGTACCCACATGGTTGCTCACAGCTGTCTGTATGTAACTCCTGTTTCAGGGATTCTGACCTTCAGCAGTGCCTAGTACACATACTTGCAAACAGGCAGATCACTCATACACATAATGTAAAAATAAATATTTTTAAAAGAGCAAGAATATCAAAAGGAAATTAAAAAATAAATGAATAAAAACTAACATTTGAAAGTTTCTGAGATGCTAGGCATAGTGACATGTGATGTTATGCTTGCATCCTGGAGGCTGGGAAGGGAAAATGAAATGTTTGAGACCAGCATGAGCTGCATATTAGTAAAAACTGTCTTAATAACCTGTATTTCTGCTGGACTCATGGTAGCTCACACCTTTAATCTCTTTAATGCACTCAGGAGGCAGAGTCAGGCAGATCTCTGTGACTTGAGGCCAACCTGAACTACAGAGAGAGTTTGCTGGGACAGCTAGGGTTACATAGAGAAACCCTGTCTTGAAAAAAAAAAAAAAAAAAAAAAAAAAGACCTATTTCTTTTCCAGAGTCTCAAACTTCTGGATCAGGCTTTAGCTGTGTGATCAATTCAGACTGTGATAAACAATAATAGTAGGCTTCATAAAGTACCAGTGGCAAATTCAAGTAAGGTTAAAAAGAAGAAAAAAGAATTGAAGTCATGGGGACTAGTCAATGGGACTAGAGTAGAAAAGTAATAGTCGCCACTCCTAGCTATAGATCAGTAGCTATTGGAAGTGGAGGTTGATAGAGGTAAAAAATAGTGAGAAATGTATTTAATGCATCACCTCGAATTGTTCAAGTTTCTAAAACATTGAACAGAGAATAAAAATTTATGAATTACTTTATGTTTTCTTAAATTTTTACTGTGAGATAATCTTAGCCTTTAAATAGGTTGGAATGCTTGGAGATTACCAGTCTGTGCTAAAATAAGCTAAGCACGATCCTTGTTTAGTGACACCTAGCACGTGCCTTGTGGGATACAGCCTGATATTTGAGTCAGTTTAGTTTATTATTTAGCCTACAATCGGGGGTATTTCTTTAGTGGTGGGGGGCTCTCTAGGTTTCAGGTGTTTCTCGGTTTGATTACCTGGCGTGATACTGCATAAATAAGCCTGCCTTCTCAGCCCATACCAAGAATCTTCAAGCGAGGTAGAGGTGGGGATAAGTAGCAGAGTGGGCAGAGTGCTGGCCTAGGATGCATTAAGCCCTGGGCTCAATAACTGTGTTTGCCTGTATTAGGCATAATGACTCACACATGTAGTGCCAAGTCAAGGCAGGAGGATCAAAAGTTAAGGTAACTCTTAGGGTACATATCTAGCTTGAAGCCAGCCTGAACTATATGAGAGCCTCTCAAAAATGGGGTAAGGGTAAATATATCATCCATTGCATCCATTATAACATCAAAAAAATAGACAATTAAGTAAATAAAATAGACATCTATGCCACCAGGTATAGTGGTATACCCATACTTTGAGCTGTTGGCGGCTGAGGCAGTAAGATGATAAGTTTGCGGCCAGTCTAGACTGTATAGAGACTACTTCAAACAAAAAAAAAAATAGGTTTAAACAATGACTTATAGTAAACAGATGTTTTTTTTGGTTATTTTTATGATTTGCAATTTTTTATGTGTGTAGCAATGAAAACATCTGGATGTAACTTAGATAAGGTGAACATTCTTCCTAATGCCCTGATCACTCCACTCATATCAAGCAGTATGATTAAGACTGAAGATGTCACTCCAATGGAAGTAACAGCAGAGAAAAGATCTTCCCCTATTTTTCAGGTGAGTTATGTTACTAGTGCCCCATATCTTTATCTCATATATGAAAAACTGCTATATTTACCTTTCTTGTTTCTTTGACATTTATTTTTCATTGAATATACCTATTTAATTTTGCTTTTCAGAGCATATGCTTTATATATCAGTAAAATTGTTTGTAAAGTAACTTCCAGTACACATTTTGACAAGAGGAGGAATTAATACCTGTGAGATGAGGGGTTTTTATAAAGGTATTACAAGTTGGTTTTTGGGATAAGGAACCAAGGTTGTGAGTTCAAGTTTAACCTGATTGAACAGAAAGACCCTGCCCCCAAAATTGGTTGATTTAATTAAAGCACTAATTTTAGCATTTTCAGAGGTAGGAACATTTGATTATGGCTTCCTCTCTCCTGTCTTTTCAATTCCCCCTTTAACTCACTTTTCCCCATTGCAGTGTTACCCATGATCCACAATGTGGAAGTGTTTTAAATTTGGTTACACACAAATCATAGGATTAATAGGATTAATGTTCTCTTACTATTCTTAATTTGGCTAAACATACCAATACATGATTACTGATCATCAGAAATTAATTATATCATAGAGAATCAGTCTTACACCAATTTCTGATTGGTAGTGTAGAGTAGAAAATTAGCTCTGTGCATTCTTAAACAGTTTTGGAGTACTAATGTGGTTATTGTATATGTACATATTATTTGTGACTTTTTATATTTTAGACTACAAAGACAGTTGGATCGACTCAGCAAACTTTAGAAACTATTTCTAACATAACAGGAAATTCATCTTTTTCATCACAATCATCTTCCCACTTACCTTCTGAAAATGAAAATCAGCAGCAGCTTCAGCCCAAGGCATATAACCCAGAGGCCCTGACAACTATCCAAACACAGGACATCTCTCAGCCTGGGACTTTTCCAGCAGTTTCTGCTTCTAGTCAGCTGCCCAGCAGTGATGCATTACTGCAGCAGGCTACACAGTTTCAGACAAGAGAAGCTCAGTCGAGAGACACATTGCAGTCAGATGGCACAGTGGTTAATTTGTCACAGTTGACTGAGGCATCACAACAGCAGCAGCCATCCCCGCTTCAAGAACAAGCACAGACATTACAGCAGCAGATCTCATCAAATATTTTCCCACCGCCAAGTAGTGTGAGCCAGCTCCAGAGTACTATTCAGCATCTGCAAGCAGGAAGTTTTGCAGGTGGCACCGCTGGTGGCAGCAGTGGAAGTGTTGACTTGGTTCAGCAGGTTCTAGAGGCACAACAACAGTTATCTTCTGTTCTGTTTTCTGCTCCAGATGGTAATGAGAATGTTCAGGAACAACTTAATGCAGACATTTTCCAAGTCAGTCAAATTCAAAGTAGTGTAAGCCCTGGAATGTTCGCCTCAACAGAGCCTGCAGTTCATACCAGACCAGATAACTTACTACCTGGGAGGGCTGACAATGTCCATCAACAGACTGAAAACACACTGTCTAATCAGCAACAGCAGCAGCAACAACAACAACAGCAACAGCAAGTGATGGAACCATCAGCTGCAATGGTGATGGAGATGCAGCAGAGCATTTGCCAAGCAGCTGCCCAGATTCAGTCAGAACTATTTCCTTCAGCTGCTTCAGCAAATGGAAGCCTTCAGCAGTCTCCAGTTTACCAGCAGCCTTCTCACATGATGAGTGCACTGCCTACCAGTGAGGACATGCAAATGCAGTGCGAGTTGTTCTCTTCTCCTCCTGCGGTCTCTGGAAATGAAACGTCAACAACCACCACACCCCAGGTTACAACTCCTGGCTCCACTATGTTTCAGGCACCAAGTTCAGGAGATGGAGAAGAAACTGGAACACAGGCAAAACAAATTCAGAACAGTGTCTTTCAGACCATGGTTCAAATGCAACACAGTGGAGACAGCCAGCCTCAAGTAAATCTCTTCTCATCTACAAAAAATATAATGAATGTTCAGAATAGTGGTACCCAGCAACAAGGGAGTAGCTTGTTCCAGCAAGGGAATGAGATGATGTCACTTCAGTCTGGGAACTTTTTGCAGCAGTCTTCTCATTCACAGGCTCAACTGTTTCATCCTCAAAATCCTATTGCTGATGCTCAGAACCTTTCCCAGGAAACCCAAGGTTCAATTTTTCACAGTCCAAATCCTATTGTCCACAGTCAGACTTCTACAGCGTCCTCTGAGCAGTTGCAGCCTCCAATGTTTCACTCTCAGAATACCATTGCTGTATTACAAGGCTCTTCAGTTCCTCAAGATCAGCAGTCACCCAATATATTTCTTTCCCAAAGTTCTATGAATAATCTTCAAACAAACACAGTAGGCCAAGAAGAACAGATTTCATTTTTTGCGGCACAGAACTCAATTTCTCCACTTCAGTCAACATCAAACCCTGAACAGCAAGCTGCTTTTCAACAGCAGCCTCCAATCTCACACATCCCAGCCCCTATTCTTTCCCAGGAACAGGCACAATCCACTCAGCAAGGTTTATTTCAGCCTCAGGTGGCCCTTGGCTCCCTTCCATCTAATCCAATGCCTCAAAGCCAGCAAGGAGCAATTTTCCAAACACAGCACTCAATAGTTGGCATGCAGAGCAACTCTCCATCCCAAGAACAGCAGCAACAGCAGCAGCAGCAACAGCAGCAGCAGCAACAGCAGCAGCAGCAGCAGCAACAGCAGCAACAGCAGCAGCAGCAGAACATTTTATTCAGTAGTCAGAATGCCATGGCTACAATGGCATCTCAGAAGCAGCCACCACCAAACATGATATTTAGCCCAAGCCAAAACCCAATGACTAGTCAGGAGCAGCAGAACCAGTCAATTTTTCACCAACAAAGTAATATGGCCCCAATGAACCAAGAGCAGCAGCCTATGCAATTTCAGAATCAGCCTACAGTTTCCTCACTTCAGAATCCAGGTCCTGCGCAGTCTGAGTCACCACAGACCTCCTTGTTCCATAGTTCTCCTCAGATCCAGTTGGTACAAGGGTCACCTAGTTCTCAAGAGCAGCAAGTAACACTCTTCCTCTCTCCAGCATCCATGTCTGCACTGCAAACCAGTATAAACCAACAAGACATGCAACAGTCTCCTCTTTATTCTCCTCAGAACAACATGCCTGGAATTCAAGGAGCCACTTCTTCAGCCCAGTCCCAGGCTACTTTATTTCACAACACTACAGGAGGCACAATGAACCAACTACAAAATTCTCCTGGCTCATCTCAGCAGACTTCAGGAATGTTCTTATTTGGCATTCAAAATAGTAAGAAACAAATTTCTCTGTACTCAGTTGAGATGTTCAGATTATTATAAACAAGCACAAAGCACAATGTTTTGAGAGCAGAGTAATAATTCCACCAACTGGCTGGTCAGTGGTGGCGCACGCCTTTAATCCCAGCACTCGGGTGCAAGCGGGTTCAAGGCCAGCCTGGTCTACAAGAGCTAGTTCCGGAACAGGCACCAAAGCTACAGAGAAACCCTGTCTCAAAAANACAAAAAAAAAAAAAAAAAAAAAAAAAAAAAAAAAAAATTCCACCAACTGTCGACTGAGGCCTTGAACAAGTTATTTGGCCTTCATGAGTCTGAATGGCCATATTTTCAAAAGTGGTCAGTTTTAGATTGGTCATGATGGTTCATGCCTCTGTAATCCTAATCTTTTAGAGGTAGAGGCAGGAAGATCAGAAATTCAAGGTCATCTGTGGCTTCGTAGTGTATTTGAGACTAGCCTAGGATACACGAGACCACAAAGATAGTGGGAGGGTTTAAATATAGTTGTGTATTAAAATGTATTTGCCATTTTAAGCCATTAATTTGAAAGGAAAATGAAAATAAGGACAGATAGTATCTTAGGCAATAGAAGTAGACATCAGTTTTAACTGTTATGACAGGTAATTACATAGGACTTGGATGATACCTAAGTAGTGTTTTTATTTAGATTAGGAACTCTCTGTGTAGACCAGGCTGACGTGAATTTAGAGGTTTACCTTCTGTGCTTCCCAAATGCTGAGATTAAAGGTGTGCTCCACCACACCCATCCTAAGAATGAATGAAAGTATTTTTTCATAGATCTTGATTAATGAGATGTCTCTGATTTTATTTCTCTACAGATTGTAGTCAGCTTTTAACATCCGGACCAGGTACCTTACCGGATCAGCTGATGGCTATAAATCAGCCGGGCCAGGCACAAAATGAGGGCCAGGCTTCTGTGACAACACTTCTTTCTCAGCAAATGCCAGAGACTTCCCCACTGGCCTCGTCTGTGAGCAGCAGTCAGAGCATGGAGAAGATGGATTTGCTTGTCTCATTGCAAAGCCAAGGGAACAATTTAACTGGCTCCTTTTAATGTGTAAGTATTACATTTCGGCTTTGTATATTTAAATGAGTTAATAGCATTGCTTAGACTTTATCCTTTTAAAATAGTACATTCCCTTTGAGCACACTCTGAATGATAGCTTGGATCAGGTTGGGAATACTGGACATTCCTTTTGACTGGAAACTTTACTTTAGAATGACAGAACATCTGGCTAACGCATAAAGCCCTAGATTCAATCATAGTAGAGAAAGAAGAGCAAGACAGAGGGAATTCTGTAGAATAATAAATATTATAAGCTGAGAATATATCTCAGTTGGGCATTTCCCTAGCATGCTTGAGACCCTAGGTTCAATACCCAGCACCAGAGACTAGACTAAAGCCAGAGAGACTAAAGACGATAAGGTTCCCTGCATGCATATTGTCCTTTGGGATCATCCATGGTGACAGACATTTGCAAATGCCTTTCTTCCCTAGTGAGATAGTGATTTTTTTTTTCCCCCTAGAAATTCCATGAAGAAAGAAATGATTCCAAGATGTCCTGAGAACTTGTGGTTCCGTGAAGATTATTGAACTATTATGGAGAGCTACATTTGAGTAAATGGGTAGATTTCCTGGCTGTAAGACTACACCCATACTGCCTGTTGCAGTAATTTGCCACCAATGTGCTTTTTGTTTCTAGTAACAGTGATAACTGAGAATCTGTTGGATTTTCCAGCTGTGACAGAAATGTTTTTGTCCTGGGTTTTAAAGTGCAGAGCTGGGCCTCTCAGTTATTATTGCTATTAGAAAATCACATTTGTCATGTTTACTTACATTTTTTTTCCCTGCATTATTTTAGTCAAGTAATGGCTTAGGACAAAGTAAAGTTTAGTAATGAGTAAGTCTGTGATTTTGTTGATGTAAAAAACACATGGATGTTGGCCAAAGTGAAGGAGTTTCTTTCAGTTTTCATGGAGAAGCTGAAGGGGATAACTTACAAAAATGCTGTATTAAGAACTCCTCATCACACACATTCAGATAACATGCTTTTAAAACTGGATACAGCTGGAATGTTACTGAATTTATTTTTCAGAGAGTTGTTAGTTCTCTGTATTTTCTACTTAGGGATTTAGCCATAACTGCATAAAAATATTTTGTTCTATGAATGAAGGGGATAATACATGACATTATGATCTCATTCTCCTTCGGTAGTTTAAACTGACAGTAATTTGAGTCTGTTTTGTTCTAATCCAGCATTAGGCTAGTGCTCCCATTTTATATGCACCTATATTGTTTTCCTGTTTAGTTTTAGACAGCTATTAATATACTACAGCTTTATGACCCTGTAGTAATTTAGAGAAGGCAGCCACATTGATCCAGTGACCTGGCAGTCTGCAGCACGGGGCCAGGAGTACTCTTTTAGGATTATTGGGAGTTGATTCCTGAGAAAAAAACAATTCTCTCTCTTTTTTTTCTTCCATGAACGGTGCTGTTCTGAAGTCTTCAAATTTTCCCCTCTAATGAAAAACAGTATAAATTTTTACTTTACAAACAAGGCAAACAAAAATTTCTCAAACTATTTCTTCTCCCTGAGCTGCAGTGACTATAATTCACTTGTCACCTCAGTGCTTTACAGTCGAAGTGGTCACTTAATTGATGTAAAGCCTTGGGCTTTACAGGGTCATATCACTGATTAAAAGGAAGAATTAACTTGTGTTACATCTACAGAGAGCAAAATTACACACTCCAGAACTCACATTTGTAGCATTAGTTGTAGAGTTTTGAGTGTTCTTGCCACCCGTGGGGCGCCTGCTTCTCACTACCACCTACATCTGGACACATGCTTATGTCTCATTTATCTTTGGCATGTGGAAAGAGTCAATGCAGCATAAGGCCAACGTGTGTGGCTTCTGTGTGCTGATATGTTTTGGTGTCCTGTTTGTTTTTTTTACTTTCTAAGTGTTTAAAAATTAGCCAGTTTGTAGTTTTCTTTTCCATCGCCTTAGTTTTCTTTTCATCTTATCTCTCCTTTCCTACACATTTGTTGAGGTGTGTGGAGCTGTGTTGTTGGTTTTGTTTATATAGCCAGATTCCCTCTTTTGTGATCTTCTTTTGTTCTTCGACTGTTGTTCTTGTCATTTGTTTTTTCTCTTTGTCCTTGTGTTTCTGCCCTAGCCCTTCTTTCTCTCTCTGAGAGGCATTGGATTACGTTTTCAGTAGTACAGGCTTCTTGCCGATATGAAGGGAACTTTCTAGAAAGAGACCTACTCTGGTCATTTAATTTTGAAAACAGTTTTCAATCGTTCAAGTTTTGGATGGTTTATATCTAATGTGTGTTTCATTTTTTTGGAAAGCTATATTTTATATTTAGGAAATGGTATACTATTTTGCTATTTGTACTGAGTGAGTACATTGGCATAAATATAGAAATTTATATATATATATATATATACATATATAAACTATTCTTTTTTGCCACACATTTTTGTGGTAAATTTGTGAGTTTGTCTGATGTTCTACCACAACGTGGCGTCTGATAACAGTGAGGGGTTTGTTATGTCTTTATTGAGTATTTAAGTACCTTTTGAAACAAATGGCCTGTTTATCTGTAGCCATTCCATCAGGCGGTTCCTTGATGTTACTAGTGAGCGAAAGGCAACTACCATGTGTTTGCTGTGTCTTCACTCAGCAAGGTGTTAAAGAGCAAGGAAACTTATTGAGGCAGTGTGTCAAATGGTGTTTGACGAGAATGAGCCACTCTGTCTTTGTTCACTATATATTTAATATTTTATTATTGTTGTTCTTATTAATTGGCTTTCTGTATCCTATGCCTTTTATTTATAAAGACACTAAAAATACCATGTTTGTAATTTTAATAACATTTTCCATCTTTTAATAGCCAGAACTACTTTATAGATTCTCTAAACCAAAAGTATTTTCCTCAGTATCTCCCTTCTCCCCCATGCCCTACAGGGAAAAATCACCCAACATGGTTCAGGTTCTGAGAAGGGTCAGCCACACAATTCAGTGCTTCAGCTTGAAAAAACGCACAGGGGACTCTAGTGTGCTATCTGGAACACCAGTGGAAGCAGACCTGTGAATCTGCTTAGGAAAGACAGAAGTCAGAGTTTAAAACCACATTGACTTCTGAGTTTTCTGGATTACTTTCTGAGATCATGAGGAGACTCAGGAAATCTGTTTCTTCCAAGGTGAAATCGGAATGTTTGTTGCGACTGCACCCTCAGTGAAGTGGCAGCAAGAGGTCTGGCTTGTGTGGTGACTTCTGTTTGTTCTGTACTAGAAGCTTATCCTTATACAGTGCTGATTGGCAATGCCGAGTCACTGGGACCAATTTCTGTCTTATACTGTCAGAGTGTAGAACAGAACATCACCTGAACTGTAGTGGTTTGAGTGGATGGAGGCAGAAACCCCATTTTTAGTCTCTTCACTTCTGTGGTTATTTATACAAGGGCTGTGCTGTGCTACCATATTCCTGTTCAATAATGATGGTTTATTTGTTTTCTTACATTGTTAAATGTTCTTGCCCCTAAAGGTGTGTGTTAAGTACAATGTTCTGAATATATGATTTGGTTACAAAATGTATGTGTCTTCTTATTGAAGAGTTAGTTCAGTGGTTGATACTTGTGCTAAGAATTCAGCTTCTCAGTTCCTGTTACTTATAGCTACCTGTGGGAAGACTCAGTGAGCCAGCAAAGACCTTGGGAATCAGGATATATTAAATTTTTATCTGGCAGAAGGACCTAAATAAACTGTGAACTACATTTTATTCCTTTGTTACATTCAGTTCTTGCTTTCAGCAACTCACAGAAATGCTTGGAGCTTATCTTCTCCCCCCCCCCCCCCATGCTTTTGTGTCCTTGTTATTCCACACCAGGGAAAAAGACAATTAGATACTTTTTTGTTTGTTGTTCAAGGCAGTGTTTCACTGTGTAGCCCTGGCTGTCCTGGAACTCACTCTGTAAACCAGGCTGACCTCGAACTAGAGAGATCTGCCTGCCTCTGCCTCCCGAGTGCTGGGATTAAATGTGTGTGCACTACCACTGCTCCACTTAGATAATTAGTTTCTGAGATTTTCTGTAGGCTTTTCTGATTCTAACATGTTATTTGTTATTTAGCCAATATAGGTCTGTCTATCCCATCTCCTTAGAACAAGTGTTTAAAGGAAAAAAAAAAAAAAACAGAAGGAAGAAATTGTGCATATGTCCCTTCAGAATGAAAATAATTTCTTTCGACTTTTTTGAATGTTTGTTTTTCATTTTTAAATGAGGTTGCACTATGCTGCCCAAGTACTGGGCCTGGAGGTATGAAACACCTTACCTGAGACCCTTTGGCCTTTTTAAGCCATTGTAAATGTTTGGGGAAAATGGAATCTGTCAGCAAATAAAACCACAATAAAATGACTGAGTTCTTCTTAAATTCAGCATAGTTGTGCATATTCTCAGGGGCTAGCTGAGACTTTTTCTCGTAAAATTTTCTTTTATCCCTGTGTCCCGATTTTCAGCTGGTTGGAACTAGTTAAAAGTTATGGGGAGACCTTGTTGTTTTACTCTGCATCACAGTGTAGCTTCATCTTTAAGGAGATGTATCTGCATGCTTTTGGGTATGTGGAGGGGCTCAATGAAAATCAGCAGATGTGTTAGAGAAGTAGCTCAGACCTGGGGTGTGGCTCCGGGGTAGAGAGTCTGCCTACCATGTGCAGGGACCTGAATTTGATGCCCAGCACCACCGAAAGGGAGAGAAGCGAACATGGGTGTACACACTAGCAAGAGGACTCACCATCACATTTTGAGAGCTTTTCCCTTCTGCCTACATTTGTCACTAGTGCTTAGCTGTGACGGTGGCATTCATTATGCAGGAGACCGGCTCTGTAGTATCGTTGGTCAATTGTCCCAGCGCCCTAATTACTTTTTAGCTCTCTGTTTTCATGCCATCCTAAGCCTTGTATATTAATAAAATTCTGTTTTTATTGCTCTTGCTCTTTCAGACAATTTTTACATTAGTATTTTATATATAGATTAAATGTTTATGGAAAAGTGCCTTTTTACCATGCCAGTGCACCCTTCCTGTAATCCCACCTTCCACTGTTGTCAAGAATATACGAATAACTGATTTCAACAGGTCCCAATGCTGTTGTGGCTTACATGAATTCACTCCAATTTTCTCATCCCAGCAAAGTAGTATCTGGGTCTTACCTGAACAATAATGAAAATTTGTGTGTGTGTGTGTGTGTGTGTGTGTGTGTGTGTGTGAGAGAGAGAGAGAGAGAGAGAGAGAGAGATTCCATGCACACAAGTGTGTGCGTTAAATATTATAAAGGCACTACTTATAGCATCTTCTCTGGTCCTAATTAACGGCATGAAGAGTGACTAAAACATAGGTTTTGTAAGACCTGGGAATAATGTTGATTTCTTTTTTTCTCTCTAATTAAACATGGAAAAGTAGTTTACTATCAGGACTCTAGTTAATTGACCTTGGAAAACTTAGTGTCAGGAAAAATTAGGAAGAAATCATTGAGTCCTGGGAGAGCTAATGTAATTTCTTTAGTGCCACATACAGTTGGACTGAGTGTCCTGGTTTTTGTCCATTCTCTTTCTGATCTAGCACCTTACGAAGTGGTGGTGCTTGAAGAAAGGGCCATCAACCACAAATTAAGGACAGCCATAACTTAAGCTTTGGAATGTGTTCCCCATGGAAATGTTCTTGTGATTGCTGGTGGACTGAAGACTGCAGACGGCAAACTTTTATGCAATATTCTTAATACCCTATCGTGCACTTTAACCATTCCAAAGAAAGCCAAGAATACATCTTAACTCTTCAGAGTACTGCATCCGTTCTTATTTTAGATAGCTGGCTTGATGTGTTAGATGACGGCTTTTTAAAGTAACCTGGAGCAAGTGTGGAATGGCTGTTTTCTGAAGGACGTTTAAGGCTTTGACAGGTAGTGCAGGGAAATGACTCCACTCTAACAAACCATAGTAAACCTTTGACTATAGTTGAGAGCTACTTAGAGCCATTCCCCTTCCTGTGTATGTCTTTTCTATAAGAAAGCTGCAATGTATAGTTTATGTCTGTGCGGTGTATGTAAACCAGTATGGCCCTCCATCCAGCAGTGACAGGAAGCCAGCTAGAGGTGCATCATCTTGGGCAATCGCCCAGTCTTGCTGAGTTAGATCTGAAATGGGGCCCAGCAGTCTGTCTGACCCAAGTTCTCAGTTGAGTCTGATGCACCTGAGCTTCAGAGCCTAGCAAAAATGAGATTCTTTCTTCCTTATGTATATTCCGCCTCACCTGGTATTCTGTGATCATTTATCAGCAATGGTAATTTATTCTTAGTACTGCCTAAGAAAATGCATATGTTTTATGTATGTATAGTGTAGTTACTGATAATTCATTTAACTTGGTTTGGCATTTTTCTACCACTGACTAAAAAGTTTACATTAACTGATTTCAATATTTAGGTGTAATGGTCTGTATTTCTTTAGTTGTTGTGACATTTACTTAGCTAAAATAATTGATGGGTGCTACAGTCTCCTGTTTATGCATAAAATGGGTACGTCGTGGGCAGGGTAATATAAGCTCTCTTTTCATTGCCTCTTTATCAGCAGACCATGGTTCTGCTTTGGCTAGACTAGCTCTCAGAACAGAATCACCATTCCGTATCATTTGTCTTGTATCTGAGACAGTAAATCAGATGACTGGCCAGGCCCACACAGCACCTCGTTTAATCTTTTATGAGTTGATGAAGATTCCTTTCAAGTAGCTTATTTGACATTTGAATACTGCAGTAGAGTAATGGTTCTCTTTGGTACTCATGCTTCAGGTGAAGTACTTCACAGAATACTAAGATAGTGCATTTTATAACTTGGGTGTTTCTTCCATCTCAGTTGTGTGCATTCTACAAATAAGCAGGCTTATTCATATTTTCCTTTATAATTCAGCACTTCCATCATTAATCTTCCTTCCACTGTTTACAAGTCACTGGTGAGTTAGCTCATGCAAGAAGATTCCCTTTTCAGAATAAACTAGTGAATACTTGCTTTCTGAGGATCACTGCTCTGTCCCACACAGCAGTGTTAAGTGGCTTCCTCTACAAACTGGTGCTGGAAAGTAAGTAGGCAAACTGCTGAGATGTTCTAGAGATGCCCTCCCTTCCCCTCCTGATTATGTCACCTGTTGCTGGTCCCAGAGCATTCTACACAATCTATTCAGCCCCCGTTTGTAATACCTCCTTAAAAATCCTGCATTCAGCCATGTCACCCTACCTGCTCTTTCATACTGATCTCCCCCATCAGAGCCCATCCCAGGAGGAATACATGTGATTTGTAGGGGTGGCCTGCTAGCTGCCATTTTAGCTAATGAGCCTCAGGACAGCTTACACTCACACATAATCCCAGATGCTTGAGAGTGGGTTTAGAATCAAACTTCTGTGACCAATAAAAGCCTGTCCTGGCTGGAGTTAGGTAGTTATAACCTAAGGTGGATGCAATTCCTAGTGCAAAAAGAGAGACTAGAGAAAGAAAAAGGAGCTGTCCTGTACAGAAGTGATCATGATTTTACTCAGTAGAGACCTTCTGCAGTGCAATTGAACTAACTCCTATCTATCAACTCTACCTGCTCATCTAGTTCTTTTCAAGGATAAGCTCCAAGTGCTAGCTGCTTTCCTGGCGACTTGACTGAGTTTCACGCTCTTCTTTTTACTTCGTGTTTTAATGAGTAACTTGGAATATTTCATTAACTTGTTCTCAAGTGATTTAGCTGTCATTCTGCCATTTTGAGTTTAATTTTATCTGCTTGAGCACACTGATCAACCACTGACTTGCCTTCTTGCATTGTCCTGCAATGATGTGTAAGAGTGACATTTGTGTAATGGTTTCATAGTTGGAATTTCAGAGCACTGACACCAGATATTCTCAGTTTGTTCTCTGGGGGAATTTTATTTGCATCTATGTTTTTAGCTGTCTGTGATAACTTGTTAAATATTAAAAAGATATTTTGCTTCTATTGGAACATTTGTATACTCGCAATTATATTTCTGTAAACAGCTTCAGTCAAAAATAAAACATTGAAAGTTTTCATTTTGTAGTGGGTTGTCTTCTTTCTTCCTCAGACTTTGTGTTGGCCTGAATGTATCTGCAGTGTGGGGGAAGTGACTGAGACTAGAGACCATTAGGGAGGTGATGGGAAGCAGAGGAAGGCACCTTTTGAGTTGTTATTTTGTACCTATCTTTTCCCCAGGCAGAATACTCAGTAGGTTTCTCTTTAGTTTTCATATTGATTGTATAGGTAGATAATACACAGGGAGCCTTTCAGAGAAAACCAGCATCTCCTTCAGCTCCTCACTCAGAGGCCATCTCTCTACTCTTCTAGTTGCTTCGACTTGTATGAACTGGTGTTTGTATCAGAGTGTGCCAAGCATAGCTAGCTATTGGTAGATCTCAGGGATCTCCATGAGATATGCAGATAGTCCTAAGGGTTCATGTGTGAGGGACTCAGCATGTAGCTTATGATAAGAGTGTTCACTCAAATGTACAATTCCCTGGTTTCAGTTCAATATCTTGAAAAATAATGTGTTCACTAACCAGATCATGTGGGAACAGGTGAATCAAAGAAAAATTAGTAATATAGGTGATACAAGGATCATGAATATAGCATATAAAGAACAACTTCAGACTGCCTTAGTAGAGCAAGGTGGTACATGCCTTTAATCCTAGCACAGGGGAGGCAGAAGCACGTTGGATCTCTGTGATCTCAAGGCAAGCCAGAGGATGAAGAACCGAGTTGATCCTACCACCCCAGAAAAAGCCAGGTGTGAAATATATATTCCCAGCCCTGGAGAGATAGCTCTAAGTTCAGTGGAGAACCTGACTAAGGAATCGAGGTGCAGAGCAAACAAAACAGACACACGAAGTCAACCTCTATCCTCCAAATAGAGACATGGGTGCACTTGCATGTATAAACGCACACAGAGATGTACAAATACCACACATGTACACATAAAGTCAGAGAATGTTAACATTTGGCATTAATAATCTTAAACAGAACTAAAAAGGTATAATAGCCAAAATGAAAAAGGCAGCTGGAATGATTGCTTAGCAGTTGAGATGCCTGCTATTTTGCAGAGGGCCTCAGTTTGGTTCCCAGTGCCCATATCTGGCAGCTCTCAACTGCCAGTGATTCCCACTCAGTGGGATTAAACACCCTCTTCTGGCCTCTGCGGGCACCTCCATGTGTATGCATATACACATGCACACTTACATATAATTATAAATTAGTCTCTCCAAAAAAACAAACAAACAAAAAAAACAAGGACCACCACTATGACTCATTGTCTCATAAACCTGTGAACCTGAGTTTAGTCCCCAACTCAGAAAAAGATGGAAATTGAGAACCAACTCTGTGAAGTTGTTCTCTGACCTCCACAAATTCACCATGGCATGAATGCACACAACACAGAAATGTGTAAGCAAAAAAACAAGGGCTCTAGAGTTTGGTGCTGCGTGGATCCTTGACTCCCACATGCTACAACCACTCACCACTGTGTTTATCTGTACAGGAAACTGTGCCTTTAGGGCCGTCACCAGAGTTGCTATGTATTAGTTAACTTAGTTCCTGGTTCACAGTATATACACGTTAACATTTACTAGTCTCTCGTGTGCTAGGTACCATTTCCCTTTACTGAAAGATCCAGTACTGTGACATGGTAACCATGAACTCACAGCAGCTAAGATTGTTTGTACAAGCCAGCAAGGTTCTCGCATAGATGGGGAGTTACTCTTCAGGCCTCACCTTTACTGTGGTGCTATTAGCATTTGATTACTGCTGGGGGAAGGGAGGACCATTCTTTTTGAGGGTGTTCCCGCTGGTAGATTTCTCGCTCCAGTGGAAGGCCCCACACTCAAGCATACAAAGACAGCACTAATTGGACCTAGTGGGTTAGCGCATGCACACACACACAAGCACAATAGAAGACGGGAAGTTGTGAGGGATGCTTATTGGAGGGCGAAATTTGGGTGGATATATTTCATTGCAGATATGTATGAAATTCTCAAGAATAAAATTAATTTTAATAAAAAGATACAGTCCTTTTAATTGTTTTTAGCACCAAGGTTCTCTTTTATCCCATTGGTCTATAAATTTCTTAAAACATAAGGCCCCAAGTACAGTCCTCAGGAGCCAGATTTTGTTTAGGCTACACTGTGTGTGTGTGTGTGTGTGTGTGTGTGTGTGTGTGTTAAGGTTTCTGTTGCTGTCATGAAACACCAGACCAAAGGTAACTTGGGAACGAAAGGGTCATTTTTCTCACCCATTTCAGAAGTCAGGGCAGAGACTCAAATGGGACAGGAACCTGGAGGCAGGAGCTGATGCAGAGGCCATGGAGGGGTGCTGATTACTGACTTGCTCCTCATGCTTGCTCAGTCTGCTTTCTTGGAGAACTCAGGACCACCAGCCCTGAGGAGAACTCACCCACAGTGGGCAGCATCTGCCACATCAGTCACTAACCAAGAAAATGCACTACGGGCTTCCCGCCTGGCCAGTCTGGTGGGATTTTCTCAGTTGAAGCTTCCTCTTCCAAAACAATCCTAGCCTGTGGGAAGATGACATGAGAACTGGCCAGCACAGCCTCCTTTCTGAGGCCTGAGTCTGACCCAGGTGGTACTTTCTTTCGCTGTCCTTCTGCCCTTGTCTCCCAGGTGCTGGCCAGAGTTGCAGCACACCGACCCTAGCACTCCGCCTTCCTTACTCTGTTTTTCAAGTTCCCCTCTTGTTGGCCATGCAGCTCACACCATGGCCAACTTCCATGCTTAACTCAAATGGCATGGCTCTCCCTCTCCCCTACCTAGAAATCTGTAACAAACTTCTCTCTATGAAAGAAGGTGAAGAGTCACCAAGCCCAGTGTTCTCAGGCCTCCTCTTACTTGGTTTATCTACAGTATTTGACACGCTCAGTGACTCTCTCCATGGCACCCTTTCTTCAGTTGGCGCTCAGGATGGAACAGTCTGCTCTCCTGCTTCCCCGGTGTGAAGGAGAAGTCCTGGAAGAAGCTGTGTCTGTCAAGGCTGTCTGATTAAAACTTCAACGACTGTGGAAAGTTTAGGATGCTGCAGGTCCACAGCCTAGTTAGTTTCTCTTGGACTTTCTTCAGCTCCCTAAAGAGCTCCTCCTTATCCACCTCTGTGCCAAATGAAACATCCTGACAGCAGATGTCTTGTTTGCTTTCTATTGCTGTGATAGAGCACTACAACTAAAAGCATCCTCAAGAGGAAGGACAGCCAGGGCGGGAACTTAGAGCAGAGTCCCAGGACCACCTGCCCAGGGGTGGAATCACCCACAGTGAGCTGGGTCCCCTCCCATATCAGTCATGAATTAAATGTCCCCCAGATTTCCCTACAGCCCAGTCTGAAGGAAGCAATTTTTCAATTGGGTTCTCTTTTCCCAGATGACTCCAGCTTGTCAGATTGACAAATGAAACAAGAAACAACTAACCAGCGCAGAGATTTCAAAAAACAGACACAAAATAGGAATGTGCTAACCCTGTTCTCTTCCAACCCAAGGGCTAAGACAGCAACTGAGGCCTAGAGCTGAGATTCCTGGCTGTAACCACCCTCTGATGTCTCCACCAATGTATTCTTAAGATGCTTTGGTCTTTGTTCTCTTAGCATAAAAACTTTGTAACTATGGAATTTGGGACACACACAGGGAATTTGGGACAACCTAAATCCATGCTCCCAAGCTGTAGTCACTCAGCTTGACTCTAGGACAATGTTGAGGTAGGAGCTATGTTTCTTGTGCCTACCTTGGCCATCCTTTTTCAAACTCATTTTGACTTCAAGTGTTGAAGAGCCTCAGAGGTCAGTCTCTAGGAGAGCGCTCCCAGTTTCATGGCTTTAAAGACTTGGTGCACACGTGTGTACCTAGATGATAAATTCCTTAAGTTGTGGCTCAGGATGACCTTAGATTTCTGACCCTCAGCCTCAGTCTCCTGAATGCTGGGATGATAGTCATAACACCATCAACATGTCTGCATGCATTTCAAGAATTTAAATTAGGCGTGGGGGTGGGGTGGATCTAGGGAGATGGCTCAATATTTAAGAGCCCTCGCAGAGGGCCCAAATAGAGTTCAATTGTGAGCACCTACATCAGGTGGCTTACAACCAGATGCCTGTAACTCCAGGAGTTGTGACTCTTTATCTTCTAGTCTCCATAGGCATGCACACTCGTGTGCATATACACCTAAATAAAAATTAATTTTATGCCAAAACGAGAACCTGAGAATGTAGTTCATGGGAAGAATGCTTGTTTCACATTTGTGAGAAGACTTTTCTTTAGCTACTCCCACAATTTGCACACACACACACACACACACACGTACAGTGTTAAAGGTATTTGCCATAAATAATAAGACCTACAACTTTATCCCAACAGTAATGAGATCCAAATATTCTCTTAAAATGATTGTGCTCATAAGGCTGGAGAGATCCTTTAGTAGCTAAAGAACACTTTCTGCTCTTGTGAGAACCTGAGTTTGGTTTCCAGCACCCACTTCCAGTGACTCACAATCACCTGTAACTCCAACTCTGGGTGATTGAAGGCCCTCTTGTGGCCTCTGTGGACAGTTGTACTCATATGTCCACAAACTCCCAGGCACAAACACATATGCACACAAATAAAAATAAACATCTTTAAAAATGAATGTCATTGATTCCACAATATTAAAGAAAAAAATTTAAAACATTTGTATAGATCAAATTTTTATTTTGGTGGAAGGCTATAATTTTTGTTTTGTTTTGACATTTAGGACTTATTTAACGTGCGTGGATGTTTTATTTGCATGTATGTCTGTGCACTGTGTACATTTGGTGCTTGCAGAAGCCAGGAGGGGGCGCTGGATCCTTGGAACTGGAGATAGAAACAGCTCTTAGCTTCTATGTAGGTGTCAGCCGGCTGGAAGCTGAACCACAGGTCCTGAACAAGAGCATCAAGTGCCCTTAACTGCCAGCAGAGCCATCTCTCTGGCTCAGTAGGGGGCTGTTGTTTTTAAGTATTGAAGAGCTTAAAGGCCTGCACCACCATGTC